GAACTGGAGGTTTTCCATGCCCTCACACTCACCTGTAATAGCAGGTAAGTAAATGAGTGTCCCTTCCAAACCCAACTACTCATCACCCCCTCACCCCACTCTAGCTCTTAATCCCCTCCCCACAGAGCCCAGGTAACCAGGCCACATGTAATCCTCCCTGTCCCTGTCACTGTGAGAACCTCAGATCCTCTTCAGATGGGGATCAACAGAAGCTGGACCCTGACCCCCTCAAGAGCAGGGACGCCACCTGTATTCATGGTGACAGAGAATCCCTCCTAGACATATGGAGCATGTGCTTTATGAGACACTGCTTCTCTGAGGCCTTCTTCCCTCTTACCATTCCTAAATTTCCGGCTTCTCTCCTCCCTCTCCAAGGGTTGAAGGTCACTCATCATTGACACGTTTGAACCCACACTGTCTCTGAGGCTTGCAGAGCTGAAATGAAAGCAGGGACAGTGACCCAGTGCAGGTAGGAGCTAGGCCAAGGAATAGGCTTGGGCAAGAGTTAGAATTGAGATGAGAGGACTGGAGGTCAGGTAAGAGATGAGATTCAGGTTCAGAATGAACCCAGGTAGGGCTAAGACTAGGACTGGACCCAAGTTTGCAACTCTTAGAGGTTGGGAGTGAGGTTGGACTGAAGTTTGGTTGATTTTGGAATTGAAGGTTGAAGGTAAGGCTGGAACGAAATTTGTTCCTTTGACTGGGTCTGATTTGGAGGGCTAGAATTGAGGTTTTTGTCTCATGCTAGGATTGAGGTCTGGTGTGGTGCTGAGGGTTAATGCGCCAGACTGTAAAGCCGTTTAAACTGCAAGGTCAGTGGTTCAAGCTCACCAGCTGTTCCTCAGAAACCCTAAACAGGATCACTATGGGTTGGAATTGACTCAGTGGCACTTAAGAACAACAAGAGGATTGAGGTCAGTACTCACGTTGGACCACAGATGGAATTTGGGACCTAAGTTTGGCCCTGAAGTTGGAAATAAGATCGGATTGAAGATCAACTTTTAATTGGAGCCAATGTTAAGATTCAGGTTGTATCTGGGGTCAAAGCTTAGATTGCAATTAAAGGAATACCTGAAGTTGGGGTTAGTATTGAAGATTGTGACTTTGGCTAATGTTGGGGCCAACAACAGGACTGGGATTGGTCCCAAAATGGGCTAGTTTGAGTGTTAGTATGTAACCTAGAATTGAAACTGCCACAATTCAATCTAGAATTCAGTGAAGAGAATAGTCTCAGATCTCCCTTAGTTATTAAATCTGATTCCTTTCAACACTCAAAGTTCCTTTCTCCCTCCTTTCACCAGCATCCTCCTTGCTCCCCCTTGCTCCCACCTGCCTCAGGCCATTTACCTGTGGAAAGCCTGGAGCTGTGATTCCTGAGTTCCCGTGTAGCACAGCCAACAGAGTTGGGAAGAACTCCTGGAGAACTGGAGTCAAGGGTGACCAAGGAGGTTCCATACCAGTGACTAATATCCTGCTGGGTTTTATATCTGCAGTATCCCCTGTTCCTGACTTTAGACAATGAATAATAATAAGAATGCATTTAAATTGGGAAGCACGCAGATTGCTCACGTGTGTATGAGTTGAGTTGCAGCCAACTTTGTCCCTTCCTCCAGGGTGTGCTTTTTTTTTTCAACCCTTCCTTATTTTGCTTCTTAGAACACCAGATCAGAGGGGCCAGGGTACAGTTTGCTGTGTTTCCCCCACCTCCCCATAGCTGCTTCCACTTCCTACACCTCAATTCCTCAGAATGTTTGTTGTTGTTATCAAGTGCCGTTGAGTCGATTCTGACCCGTAGTGACCCTGTAAAGGGTTTCCAACGAGCAACTGGTATGCTTGAACCACCAACCTTGCAGTTCGCCGACCTTACAGTTCAAACGGCATATTAACCCACAGCGCCACACCAGGACTGGTTAGTGTCTCCAATTACAGCCTCAGAAACCCTTTACAGGGTCGTTATGAGTAGGAACCGACTCCACGGCACATAACCACCACCACCAATCACAGCAAAGGGGCTCATTTCTCTGCTCCTGTTCAAAAGTCCAAATCCTGAAACCAAAACCCTGACCCCATCTTCCTCATCTGGAGGCTTTAGGCAGGGGGTGAGGGTAGCGGGGGAGGAGAGGCAGGGAGGCATTGTCAGCCCTTGCCCATAAGGTTACCATGCATCAGAACCAACAGGATGGCAATTAGCAACAAAAATGTGGCAATTCGGAAATCAGATTTTCCTCCTCTTCAAGGTTATTTGTTGTTGTTACTGATGCTGTTTGCTTGTTTAATGATTTTCCTGAACTTATTCTGCATAATATATATTATCTGTCATGTGTGACCACTGAGGTCCCTGCTCAGTTAGATTATCATTGTTGTTAAGTGCCACCCAGTCAGTTCTGCTCATAGCAAGCCGGTATAGAGTTTCCAAGGAGTGACTGGTGAGCTTGAACCGCCAACCTTGAGGTTCCAACTGACTTCAGTTTCTACACGTCATCAATAGTGAATATTTTTCAGACTTCTAATTTTTTCCATTCTAATCAGTCTGTGGTGTCCTGGGGTGGTGCTGTAACATAAGCACTGAACTGCTAAGTGCAAGGTTGGCAGTTCAAAACCACAAGTTGCTCCTTGGAAACGCTATTGTTGTTGGTTTTTAAGTGCCGTCCTGTTGGTTCCAACTCATAGCGACCCTGTACAGGGTTTCTGAGGAGCAGCTGGTGAGCTTGAACTGCCAACCTTGCAGTTCAAACTGACCTTTCAGTCTAGCCCATTAACCCACAAAACCGCACCAGGACTCCAGAAATGACCTGTGGTCAGTACGAGGATCGAATCTACAATCTTGGCATTATTAGCACCACCCTGTAACCAACTGAGCTAGCTATGAGTCGGAACCAACTTGATGGCACTTAACAACAGGTCTATAGGAGGACTGGTGACAAAGTGGTTAAATGTTGGACTACTAACTGCAAGCTCTGAGGTTCAAACCTACCAGCTGTTCTGCATTAGGAAAGGTGAGGCTATCTGCTTCCATAAAGCTTTACCCTAGGGAAAAGTTCTCTTCTGCTCTCTTGTTAAGTGCTATCAAGTGGGCTCCTAGGGTCATGATAAATCAGAAGTGACTAAATGGACAGTGGGTTTGGTTTTTGGTAACAGGCCTTTCCAAGGCTTTTTTTTCAATCTTTGTGGGAGCAGAGAGCCTCATCTTTTTCCAGCATAGTAGCTGGTGGGTTCAAACCGTGGACCATGTGGTTCATAGTCCAGTGATCATTGTATGGAGCCACCATGCTCTCAAGAGGCCTGTTGTTGTTATTAAGTGCCACTGAGTCAGTTCCAACTCATACTGACCCTGTATAGAGTTTCTGAAGGAGCAGCTGGTGGGTTTGAACTGTTGACCTTGTGGTTTGCAGTTCACTGCTGACCCTACAGCACCACATCATAGGCCTTTAGTGGTATTTTATTGTAGTTTTAAACTGCATTTCCCTAAGACAAATAGTGAGAGAAAGATGCGACTCTCTACTCCAGTGAAGATGTACAGGCTTGAAAACTCTATACAGGGTCACTATGAGTTGGAACCAGCCTGACAGCATGCAGCAGCAATCAACAGGAGCAACGATATTGAGCATCAGTTCATAGATTTAGTCATCATTTTGATATCTTCTATTATGAAGCTTCTATTCAAAATAGTGTACATTTTTAATTGCTGGGTTTCTTACTATTAACTCATGGATTCTTCATATATTCTTAATACAAGTTCTTTGTCAGATACAAGTTCCGTGGATATTTTATATCAGTCAGTGACTTGTCTTTTCAGGTTTTTTTTAAATGTTCTCCTTAGAAACCCTGTACAGGGTTGCTATGAGTTGGAACCGCCTCGATGGCACTCAACAACAGCAACAATCACATAAG